CGGGAAACAAAGACAATTTATTTCAATGCAAAAACACAAACTCTCAAAATTTTATTTCTACATTGTGTTATTTTAAATCTTGTTTATATTATATTATTTAAAATACTGATTTATATAAAATATATTATTTTAAAATTTACTTGTTTCAATTACTGTCAGTTGTCTACATCCACATTGATTTTCTTATTTCTACTACTCAAACAGTATGGTAAGCCGGGCGAGCGCGGTTTATTACGTTTTTTGTATGTTTATCGTTTGTGGGCTGATAAGCGAACGAAGCGAGCAAAAATTTTATTGGATATGACTCAATCACTTTTTTTTTTAAATGCTATTTTATGAAAATCTATACCCTTGCAATTACTAATACCACTACCCAAACATATCCATTCGACCATCGTTTCAAATAAAAATGAATCGTATTCCAAAAAAGCTTGTACGAAAAACTACAATCAATTTGCTATCTCCCTATCTTGTTTTTTTTTATTGTTCAACATGTATTTATCATGCCTTTAAAATGTATACATATTAGGTATGCAAAATTTTGGCAGCATATTGCATTACGTCGCGGACATTCCATAAAATATAGCCCGAGGTGGGGTGCGCTCCGATTTAAAGTAAAGAACGGTCCTGGTATTTATTTACCTGCTCATGTCTATTACCGCTTTTTAAGGGAGCTTTTCAAACAATGAGCATAATTTACTCTTGAAAAGATGGAATTTTCGCTTGATTTCAATACGGCAGGGATTAAGCTTATTATATCTTATCCGAAAAATCGATTTGAAAGTCTACCGTCAGATAACTCTTCTTCCGCAATGCTCTACTGTGGGGCTTTTTTGGTTTACGAATGTCAAAAATTATTTATTTCCATGCAGCCATGACTTCAACATTCAATTTACATACTGATAACGCGCAAACCTACCCTTCACTATCATGCAGATTAGTAAAGAATTGGATTCTATAAATCAGCGAAGACTTTGATGGTACTATGCGTAAGTTCCATTATTAATAAGTTAAAGTAAAATTCATCTAAAACTGAAACAATTGCTTCATTTCCCTCTGCCTATGATTGTGATTGCTTATCATGGGTCAAAATGACGAATAAAGAAATCGAATTTATTGGTTTGGTCTCTAATCTAGATTTCAAACTTCACTCTCATCTAAATGTTAATAATCACGTTAATTTTACGATAATTCGTGCAAATCACATTTTGGGCAAACTTCAGCTCTATTCATCGCATGTTCCAAATCAAACAGCAAACACCTATAAATTTTTGCTTAAAGAAACAGCCGTGGTTTCGGTTTACGTTTTACGGTAGGCATATCCTTCAACCAATTTGGCACATTTTTAATATCAATACTGCCTGTGCACATAAACGCCGGCATGGCTACATTAGTTGAGTGTGTGACGCTTATTAATGATATATATGCTTTGCAGGGTCCCTAAAGCTATCTTTTTGGTGTTGCAAACGTTAACACAAATTGGATATATATCCGTCTTTCTGATGTGAATATAAAAACTTGGATATTATATGTAAAATGATCGTGGAGGGGACAGAATATTGGACCACAGATGAATATAATTTTCGTACTTGTTACAATTCTCAATGCAGTGCAATTTATTAATCATTCTTTGATTTTTCTATTGTATAATTCACCTAAGTTGTTCTTATTCACACATTCGTTTACTAATAGCCTTAGGGGTACAACAATATTATTATAATAATTATTGTCAGTATAATATTGTCATTAATAATAAATTTGTAAAACCATTTGTTGGCAATGTGTCGCCATTACGACAAAACAGAACATTTACGCACATGCCTACGTATGCATGCACGCATGTATTTTAATTTTTTTAGCTTTTGGACGTAGTGGCTACTTTCAGATTGGTGATCGTGCTAAAAATTGGGCTTTTATGGATTATTGGTTGTCATTATATAGACCTAAATTCCTCATTCAAATTATATAGTAAATAAAATATGACATTTACACCAATTTTTCTGTTTCATTTTCATTCAACTGTATAAGTGAAAAATCATACTTATATACGAGGATTTTTGGTAGTTTCAATGCTCAGCATTCAGCTCTATCTCCCACTCTATATACAATTCGGCTTGAAATTCATGCAGAAGTAGCATTTCTAATTTGACTTTACACTCATGATTTCTTTCGCTTTTCTTATTAAAAAAAAATAAACTCACGAAATACGTTTTAAATATAAACGTTTATCGAATTTTTCCGTCTCGTTCTGGTTTTCTTCCCACACTTTTTCATATCTGTCATATATTTACTGTTTTCTTCCGTACTTAGTTTTATAATAACACATATTTTTTATTTACTATTGGCATGATTGTTTTTATTTCTTAAAGCAAAAACTTGGCATCATTTACACAAATCTATAAATGATGCCAGAATATGCATTTTAATTGCGAATTCCGCATAGACTGCGACAAAACAATACTAACTAATCCGGGGAGTAAAGTATATAAATGTATTTTTTATATGCATAATGTATAAATAAATTATCTACGTATGTAATGTAGAATAATAGTATATGTTTTTATATTTTATGTAATATATATGGTTCCATTTTTATGTAATAGGTATATATAATATATTAATTTGCTTATTTGTATTTGTTATACACCTCTATATATTATATATATATAATGCATTAAATATGCTTTACGGTTGATCTAATTAAACTCTTCGGTACTCTCTCTAATATATTTCTCCAAAAATTATTCAGGGAGTTGATAACTATCGGCTACTTAAGTAAGGAGAAAAGCTAAGAAGAATGACTCTTGATTCGTAACTTTCCCGATTGAATAATTTTCTTCTTACGGCATTTAAATATCTTAATAGGAAAATTGAAGAGCAAAAGATTATATACATATATATATATATATATATATATATATATAGTCTCACTTTTGTCTTGACAAAGTCAACAAATGTTTCTACGAGAATTTTCTATATTTCTCGGCCTTTAGTTAAAAGCTTCAACATTAATAAAATAGACTATGTAAGTACGATGCTGAAGACGAGAAAGATGCTGATATGTTGGGTATAATGATACATCCATGATGATGTTGGTGATATGTGACTGCACACAACAAACACATATTACACATTTAAGCACACACACGTTACACAACAAACTTTAACTATGAAAGCAACATTAACGCACATTTACCTTTTTCTCGTTTTTGTTTAAACTTAAAAAAAAAAGAAAGGATGTGTGGACTTGCAAATGCATGGTATTAAAAACAGAGCCAAATTGTTCATGGATGTGGCATGGAGAGGCGACTGTAAGTTGTTAAAGTATAAGAAAAAATATCTACAGGAACAACAGAAACAGCAACAGTAGCATTAACAACAATTGTTGCTATAGAAAAATATTAGGGAGAAGTAATCGTGGTGGTTTCAGGTCATTGAGAAATTTTATGAAAGAAATATTTGTGAAAAGTACGCGAATGTAAATAAAAGTAGATGTGTGTTTTTCTGCATATGTGTGCGAAAGAAAAGCAAGAACAGAACGCACAACGAAACCAATAAATTTAAATAAGCTTAAGACATAGAGTTGCCAAGATTTTCAATCCAAATTCCTTGCAACTAAGACCTGGAAAATCTTGGATAACTACTAAAAGGTCATCTAATTGTCACTTCTGAAAGATTTTTTTGTTAAAACACAAATCTTGATTAGTAACTTGTTTTTTGTTGTCATCGTAATAATTCTCACATGAAAAAAATCCTTCATACTATTAGCAACTAGAAAAGCTTTTGACAACAACGGCAAGATGCTATTTTTAATTTAATAAATTATGCGAAAAAAATAAGATTTAGTATTATATATTACAACTATGTCGATTTCTTACGAACATGGCAATAAGCATATTTTCACTAAATTTTCGTAGAATTTCATATAGAAATTTGGGTTACTACGTAAATATCACTAAGCAACTAAATTTTTAAAATGCTGGAATTTGTACTTGTCTTTGGCAATATATATTTAATGGTTCGTGCAAAATATATGAAAAGTTTTACTTGTGGAGTCTCCCCTTATCCAGAATACATTCTACGAACATTGCAAAAAAAACGCCAAAGTTACTAGACTTATATCGCCACCAAGAACACGTGGAAAATAAGGCAACCGAAATGGTGAGCACATTTAAATTAATTAGGAAAACAATCTACACTTAAATGGACCCTTTGTCTAAAAAATCATATTTTTTGGACATAATACTCAAAGAATGCCGGCCTTAGATATTCCATGACTTAATATAAATGAGAAACAAAAATATTTCGTTAGATCCTTTTTGTGCACATTATCAGGGGGTAACTCTACTACCTTAACATCGGAGGCAAATATAGAAAGCAAAATATGATGGTCTTTTACGGTTTAATGTATTATTTTTCTGTAATGACATTAAAAAAGAAAGAAGTAAAATAAATTTTATAATAAGAATAGGGAAACGCGCTATATGGAGCAGAAGCTGTATATATTGTGCATGAGTGAATGAAAACAAGAAAGTAATTTATTCTAACCAACTTAATATATAACTCCATGCTTTGCTTTTAAAGTTTACTTAAATTACAGGCCAGCTTCTAACGAAAGATTGGGGATTTGCACACATATCTCTCACACAATAAAAAAGCAAAATAATCAAAGCAAATACATGGCACATACACGCACACGTACGCATACACATTCACACAATACAACACATACACGTGCATAGATTCAACATACTCGCACTCACACACTGAACACTAAAATAAAGAGGGCGTAGAACCCACCAATACGAAGAACCAGTAGTATAAGTATTTTAGAAAACGAAGAAAATTAATCACACATTCCACACACATACACCTAATAAATTATAAACTTACATGCACACGCATACAACAAGTTTATATTAATTGTTTATAATATATGTAGACTATTTTGCACATAGTTTAGAAATAAGAAAATCAGCTTTTTTAACAATAGAATTTACCCTTAATGCATTTAAATCGATATCATCTAATGAGCAATTTACGGAGGCAAGTTGCTGCTGGTGCGCCATTTTGGTTTGCTGTTTATATTATTTTTTTTTTTAGTTTTATTTTTATTGCTTTTATTTTTTACTTTTTTCTCTACTGCTTTTTTTCTTTTCACTTTGCACATATATATATTCACTTTCTTTATTGAGCACTAATTTTCTTCGCTTTTTATCGGATTATTAAAAAAATTTAGCTGAAAATTCAAACATTCTTTATATGATAAAAACAAAAATTTGCATTAATATTAAGTTGAAATTTAGAAAAATAATTTTTTTAGATTTCCTCATACCCTCGACAAACAACACACGCAGACATTTTCCCGATTGCTGTCAGCTTCTTTTGTCGTGAATTTTTTTTTTTTACAATACATGACGGTCCTTTATTCTTTGTAGGGTACTTTTTTTCATATATGCAGAGTAAGAATTTTTATTGATATAAATAATAAAAATATTTCATTCAATATCTTTTACTACCGGTCCCTTTTTAATGAAATTTCTTCTTCTCCATTTTGACAATTTCTGGTCGGTTGATAGATAACTGAAAATTGCCAAAGTATAGAAGAAAAAATTTTTTATGAATTTTTTTCGTATTTCTCTTTGCCTGTTTTCGACGTCACGTCACTGGGAATTAGTACTATATAAAGCAACGTATTCATATTTTCATTGTAATGACATTATTCCGCAAGAACTTCACGTTTTTTGCTTACGCAAATAATATATATTATATATTTATTATAAAGCTTTTTTTATTTCTTTTTAGTAATGTTACAAATCTCCAACTACTTTTTATCTAACTTCCACGCCCGACTTTTGCTTTTTCAACATCGCTCGCAGCCCTCGCAGCCCAACTGAAAAATAAAATTTTATTCTTTTATTTATCTTATTCTCCCTTTTAAACAAGTGTTGCCACAAGGCGATGACATTTGTATGTGGTTAAATACATACAAAGTGCAACAAGATGTAAATAAGAAAACAATAAAAATGAACTTTTAAATAAATTCTAAATAAGAACTAAATTAAAAAATTCTTTTCATTAGACGCAGTACGAGTCAAAATAACAGTTGCATTTCTGGCAAATTGATTTTAGGCAAGAAACTAATTTCATGATTATTTTAAATATACGAGTTCATTTCGAGAACGTTAGGTGCAGGAAACATGTTTCATCTTAATTACTTATCAAGCAAAGAAGGAAAAATTGTTGCTTTAGTTTTAGATTAAAGATAGACTGGTAGATTTTTGCCGAACTCTGATAAAACTGAAAGTTTTATAATTTTATGATTAAAATCCAGCTAACGGGTACATATGGCAAGATCATCTTTATTTTTGGTTGAGAGTTGCCAGCGTTATGTTTTTGAAAACATCTTTTTTACACAAAAATTAGCAGGCGGGTAGAAATCTGTTAAATGGCAAAGCCGTCGGCAATAAATCTGTTAAAATGGAACAATATAAAAAGGTCTGTTAAAATTGCAAATCTATACAAACAAACAAATTGGCAATTTGACAACAAACAATAGCAACAGTAGTAAAATGAAGCATATATATATATAAATAAAGCATATTGTTGCTTTTCTTTCTTTTATTAACTTTATTGAAAATTTTTGGTTATTATAAAAAATACAATATTAAAATTATCTCATTATCTCCCATGATATATTCAAGTTGAGTTGATCCAGTTGATCTAATATTATATTATATAACACATCGCTGCATTTTTGTTCGTGCAGAGTGTATTTTATTTAGCAAATTTTTGTATCGTTCCTCCAATATAGTCGCTTGTCAGTTAATTTATGCCATGTTGCATTTAACAGAAGATTATCACAAATCTTTATTGTTAATTATTTTCAGGGAAGCACACTGTGATTACTGTATGAATAAAAGCAATTATTGTGCACTTTCAGAAAATCTGTCTACAAATGAAGTGTTACATTTAAGCCGGTTGTCTTCCTGGCCTCTTAAGTAAGGTTGAAAATTTTACAACTGATGAATGTAGAGTTTTATGCCCCAAAAGGCTTTTTTGCTAGCGAAAACATGATGTTCTGAATAGTATGAAAAATGCTTCACCGCTGCTGTGGATTACATGGAAAGGATATTCTCTAGAGATAAACAAACAGTGCTTTGGCTTGTTACAAGGCTCTGTGATTGTTATGACAATATGAGCATTGAGAGTAAGTATGTCTAACTTTTGAGTTGAAAAAGTTATATATGTTTATTTCAATTTGGTATAATAATATTTATATCTACTGCGATGCCAAACTCTCATGCTTGGCCTTTCTTGCCTCGTCACACGCAAATAAGAATGATTAGAAAGAATACTCAAAAATTTATCGTTTCGTTCTTGCTTTAGCACAAATCAGTGGTTAAAAGTGGCCATTATCTGTAGTTAATTATCTATAAATGTGCCTGCATCTTTGCCTCGATCTAATAGTGTAAGAACAAGTAAAAAAAAAAAAAGGAAATTAAATTGAGATTGAATACTGTTTTCCTTGAACTATTTGTAAACAAATGTTTGTGGACTTGCCAAAGCCTTCTGACAATGTGAATCGTAATCTATTGTAAAAAAAGCTAAAGTCTTGCCTCGATTTCACCTTGACCGCTATTAAACTTATTAGCTCTTGTTTGAATAGTCGGCATTAGTGTCTTAGAGTCGGCTGCTTTTCTCTGAAATAAGACAACTTAATTCTATCGGCGTCCAAGACTCTATATTAAGCCCCATTTAGTCGTCTTTTACATTTATATTTTTAAAATTCTTAAAAGACATATTTTCGATTGAAAAATTTTTATATGAATATTTGATTAATAGAATTTCTTCTTAGGTGAAGGCGGTGGCTCGCTAAAAGACCCACGTTATTTGTTTCTATTACATGTGGTTAGACGACGTTACAAGGAGGCGGCAGAGACGTCTGTAATTACAGCAAGTCGAGAACAACTGAATCGTAAATATAAACCTGTATGCCATCTGTTATTTTGTATGTATTAAGAATAACGCTGCAGTAATTTGGTGGTAACATGACACACAAGCTCATTCTCGTACTCCGTCTCTGCGCATTAAACTAAGAAATCATTTACTGGCTGCAAAGAAGCTGTTTGTAGCTGACCTCGTCAATTCCTTTGTTCATATATCTAGAATTTAAGCCATTTTCAACCAAGCTGCGTCTTTTGTCTTGTTCATGGAAAGTTCATAGAAATAAAAGTTGCAAATGTCTGATAACCTGCACCATTTATATATTCGAGATCTATTTCGTGGACTGATTTTCAGAATCGTTTAGGTCTCATGCTGGCCTTCTCTAAATAATTTAAAGTTAAACTCAGACAAAATCAAAGCTATAATGATACTACCCATTGCTCTATTTAGAGTTATAACGGGTGAAGCGGTGATTCATATTGTTAGTCAGACTTCCAATTTTGCTCAAATATAATCTTGTCGCACCGATTTTCGATTAATCGGTTTATCTTAAGTCGTTCTTCAATTATTCGTATAATGATTTTTCAAAATGAGGCGTTATGTGAGCAGCGGTCGCAAAAGCGGTCTGATCTGAACAATTTTCAATAACGATCGTCCTTGGACCAAAACATGTCGATGTATCAAAGTCTGTTAAAATATCTCCAAAAATAATAATATAATTGCTTAAGCAAAGGCACACACAACAGCACACGAGTACTTTTACCATTGTGTTAATGCACTCAAGCACAGTTCTACTGAATACGTCATCGCCTAACCCATAAAAAATAAAAATGTTCGTGGTATAGTCTTACGTGATTTCAGTTCTTTTACTTTATCCCTCTCTCTTGTGGTCTTTCATATCGTTTGCTTATATTGGATATCATCATTCTCTCTTACGTTTATTGTTAAGAAGCAAAATATATAGTTCCAGGCAATTATTTCGTCACTTATTTCAGGCGTGAAATATGTTTTACAGCAACAAACTGCACATGGTACTAATTTTACAACAACAAACTACACACGGTGCTACTTTTGTAGCAACAAAATACATATGGTCTTACTGTTGAAATGTAAACACGTGCACGTGCTTGGCAAATGTAAACAAAAACTAGAATGTCCAACAACAAACACGCACGTTACTACTTTTACAACAACAAACTACACACGATAACTTTTTCACAACAATAAACTACAATATGGTGCTACTTTCACACAGCAACTGTAGCTACTTCTTGTGCTACTCATATCCTACGGAGCGAATTTATATGGCAACTTTCAAAAAAACAGATCTACAATCGGCTATCAGTTAATGTGCTAGATAGCTGGATACGTCTTCAATAGGCGTAAACACGGCAGAATACTAGAAGTCCTGGTCATGCATCGTTTACTTATACTCATGAGTCAAAATGTCTATAAGAGAAAATTCAGTTCGTTAGATCCAGACGTACAATGGATTTCGCTCTTCCAGGTCGCAGATATTTAAGATCATGAAAACTATTATCTAATCGGAAAATTATTGTCAGTGTCAATGGGTTTATAACGCTAATCGGGGTTGTCTATAATGCTGAATATGACTAGTAATTACCTGATTAGGTATAATATTTCATTATTTAATTCATCTCAGTTATTCTGCCTGTGTTTTCGCCTGTGTGTTGGTCATGTTTTTATCATCAACATCTTCACTTGACTAATGACCCAATATTTCGCTTTTTTTCTCATTTAATCTAAAGATATCTCCCTCCAAGAATTAGTATCAATAAAAAATACGTTATATCACGGTTACATTGGCAATTGTTTTAACAGAAGTAATTTTTACTTGTTTACTACTTTATCTGGTTATAGACTTGTTCTGTAGGCTAAATATTAATGGAAAGATATCAGGGCACTAATTAAGCATCTTTTAATTAACTAATTTTCAGTTGAAAGGTGTACCTTAATAACCGTAGGTTATTGGAGGGCACTATCACACGTTAATTTAATTAATAAGTTATTTATTAATTTAAATATATATATATTTTTTTTTTTTTGGGTTTTTTGAGTTCCAACTGGTAGTATACGTGAGTGCTCTTGTAGGCTAGCAGAGTCTATCGCGCTTTTTTCCAAGCTTTAACTCTGGACGAATTTATTCTTTAATTGGATATTTGCTTATCAAATTTCGTTTACAACATTCGCAGTTTATTTGGCCAAACACAATATAACACGGCTCGTAAAAAGGAACTGACTCGTATTTTTATATATTTTTATGTGATGCGGAGAAAGGAGAATAAATATTTCCAATATTTACATTCTAACAAGTGGTCGCTTATTTACTTACTTTCTAAAGTTGTGAAATTCAAAGTTCGCTCATTCACTTACTCTCTAAAGTTGTGAAATTCGAAGTTCGCTCATTTACTTACTCTCTAAATTCGTGAAATAGAAAACTATGAACAGATGAATAATTCTGTTCTTCTTCATGACAAAGATTTAACTCTATTCTCAACACACGGTATATGAAAGATTGATATATAATGAATAAAAAAACCATATCCTAACCATGTTTGCATATAAAACATATATATGTCTGCATATGGGGAATTGGCTAACAGCATAATTTTCTCTGCGCATCTTTGTTGATAACTAAATCCGTAGTGTAGGAACATTTCTGCGTGCAGGAACAGATTGACGTAAGTTTTATTAATAATAAAAAAATATTTTCTTATTTAATTTCCTAACTAAATATTATATTGCGATAATTTAGATTAATTATTTAAACAGTAAGGCTTGCAAGAGCGGTTTCAATGACGCCGAAGAATTGCTGCCTTTGTGCTATAAATGTTCAAATTATAGTCAACATTTAAATGGAAACTCTTGCCCCACTTGCAAACAGTATTATATATTTTCTTTTATATCATTTGGTAAGTCATAGAGCGTCTTAATAAACTAAAACGAAGCGTGCGTTTATTAAAAGCTTATACATAAACAAATTGTCAGAAATTTTAACGTTAGTGCAATTCTATCCTGAGATTGATATTAGTGATACTGAAGCGGAGAGATTGTTATTAGCTCCGCCAAAAGCCAGTGAAGATCAAGATCAATTTAATGAGGTCTGTATGTTTATATATTTATAGTTGGAGATTAAAATGTTTACCGTTTAATGTACAGGATGTTGCCAGTGCGTTGCCGTTAAGTTTAGATCGGAATGCTTTACGAGCTATAGATCCTAATCATGTGCTGGTTTTAAAACGCCGTAATAAGCCAAGCAGCAAATTTGTGTATTATCGCAATATATTACCTGATCTACAAATAACCTACTGTCCGGAATGCGTGCTAGTAAATATAATCATATTAAATATAAGCTGATTGCTTATTGTTTGTTCTCTAGGTGTTCTACGCTGAAGACTTTGAGTTGCAAGTTCTACAAAAAGGTTTTTGACCTTTTTGTCGCACATCGGCCGACAAACTATTGATGGAATATTGAATGCATACAGTATTTTTAAATTCTTGCTCATTTACGTAATATTTATTTAATAAATCTTCATGACCACGTCTCTTCTTGATAACGATTAATTTTAAACATTTTTTCGACATACGCTTCATCTTTATCTAAAACATTTATAAAGGCTTCTTTTACGGCTTTAGGCATGTTTGTGGAAGAACCAGCTACGTACACATAGGCATTACATTCCTTTATTAATTTTTTCAATTCTTGCGAATTCTCCTCTATTAGATGTTGGACATAAATCTTATGATCTTGGTCTCTTGAAAAAGCAACAACGAGCTTTATATGGTTTTGTTTGTGCCATAATTCCAAATCGTTTTGAAAATGAAAATCTTTTGAACGATTTCGACAACCGAAAAATATCCACATTAAGCTTTTATGTGAGTTCAAATCATTTTGATTAATTGTAAGCTTTTGAATTATGCTACGGAATGGTGCAATCCCTGTACCAGGTCCTATCATTATCAAAGGTGTGCTAAGCTCTTTCGGTAATTGCATGGTACCTCGTTTAAGACAACCCAAAATGTTGTCGCCTATCTTTAAGCATTTCAACCAATTCGAACAAAGACCCAAACGCGGCGAAGACATTTTAGTTCTATACTCTACTACGGCTACTAGGAGATCCAACGTTTTGCTTTCTACACAACTAGCTATAGAAAAACTGCGGGTTTGTATGAAGCTAAACATTTCAATAAAAATTTCCAAAGTCAGCTTGGACGTAGCATGACGGAAATCTTGCAAAACTTCTAGAACAGTCCTGCGTGGTCGATTAATATAATTAAGTACCTCCTCCAAACCATCGGAAGTAGTGAATTCTAAAAGTTTTTCCTTTTCCATATTATCTTCGCAGTTCAAAGCCAATAATTCAAAAAATCTTCGTCGCGGTTTAGCGCTCAAATCCCATATGTATGTTGCCATTTGTCTAACATTTAAAGGTTTACTATAACATTTAGGCAGAATCATGCCCTGATGGTTGCTACTCATTCTCACTAATGTATTGGAATCAAAGTCCAGTTCATGTTCTTGGACTAAGGCAAAAAACTCGTCAATTTGTTTTTTAGAGTTGTGAGGATGAATTTCTATAATATCTCCGGGTAACCAAGTTGCACTTTCAGGCACTTCAAATTGTATAAAGCGAACATCTTGAAAATGCGAAGGATCAGTGGTACGCACATTGTTTATTAGTTTAAATGAATGAGTGGGAGTTTGGCGATGAGGCCAAAGTAGGTGATAATTGTCTTCATCAAGAATTGCAGTATGATCTAATCTGCAGCAATGCCACTTGAAAAAAAAAGCTTCGTGTAAGTTTTCGGCATTTCGAAAGTTTAAACACAATCGTTCTTCCACCTCTTCCCATACATTCGTCATCCATGGTATAACTACCGCATTTGAACCATAATCATGCTGATCATCTGCCAAGGCTAACGGTACAATAGGTTGGGCACTCAATTGTTGTAAGCGTTTATTTAACTTTTTTGCTGCGTAATTGAATTTAGCATAACTGGAATCTCCCAAACCTAAACAAGCGAATTGCAAGTTGCTCAAAGAGTCGACTGGCAAGTTACGTCTCAGCAGAAACTTCCATGTGTTCCGCATATTATCAGGCTCTTTACCATCCCCAGTGGTAGCCACTACAAAGAATACCAAATATTCTTCAGTGAGTTGTTGTATTTGGTAATCATCCATAGCCATTACAAGACCGTCGAAGTTGCGTTTCTTTGAGTCTCTCTATAACTGTTCGGCCACGTCCTGGGCTGTTCCTGTTTGGCTACCATACAAAATAAGAATTCTCATTATTTTTTTTAGATAAACGCCTTAATTTTTTATATTAAACTAACAAATTAACCTAAAATTATTTTCTTCTTCTTCTATTATTCAGCAAGCAAACAAACGAAATTTCGCTGAGATGTGCAAAAAAGGTCCAATGTAAACGCAGAGTTCTTTGGATCTTAGACTAGTAAGGTTAGATTTAATATATAATATTATTATTTATTTTTTTTAGTATTTGTTTGATTAAAGTTTTTAATTTTTTTATCTTTTATTTTATTTATTTACTTTTTTTTAATTTTTAGAACAGGACAGCGATCCAGATTGTCCACGTCCTCCACGGCCACTGCGCCGATCTTCTTCCAAACGTATACGACGTCCATTCAAGTCGGTGTCATCCAACTTTTCAATAGCTATCTTCATATCAGACAATGAAGCAAATTCCACCACACTCGGCATCACGATAATCTTCGGATAATCGGCGGATAATCTTCAAATTCCTATAAAATGTGAATATGCATTCTATAAAACACACCCTTAAAGGATAAAAAAAAAGCGCAAATGTCGAAAGTGTCTTACCACAAATCCGTATCCACTTTTAGCGGATAGAAAAAAAAAGAGCTTGGAAGTGCATTTTAAAAAAGCGAACAAACATTTCGGCTTTTACGAATGGAATCTTTAGGAAAAAATTTACCTATTTCTTTCTGCCTTGACTGACATTTTCTTTTTAAATGAAATTTTTGCGCTCGTGCCCAGCGCTGCAAAAAAAAGGGAATTTCATGATTCAATTATCGCGGGATTGGTGAAATGTTTGTGGGGTATTATTAGGAATCGATTTGGTGCTTTTGTATTGGAATGTTGGATATTCCCCTTTCGTCCATTTCTAAATTACGCCGTAGCCGGTGCAACTGAAAAACGATTTCTAATTTTCGAGTATTTTTTAAATGTTATCATTGGTTTAAAAAAATTAAATATATGCAAAAACAAAATTGAAATCCTTAAATACGACTCTGTGCGTGAGAAAAATTAAATAATGCAAATCCTTAAATACGACTCTGTGCGTGCGAAAAATTTAGATAATTTAAACTCCATTTGAGGTTAGGAAAAAATACATTTCCTATGTGAATGTGCAAAATCCAACAAGAAAAATTTTTCCAAAACAACTAAAAAGTGTTCAAGAGGTGCTAAGAATTTTCC